CAGAAAGAAGAGTCAGTTGCAGAATCCAGAAATAATAGGAGCAGGACTTATCTGGAAAGTGAAGTTTCTATTACAGAAAGCAGATTAAGGAGTGCAAGCAGTTTGTATAATTTTGTTATTGTAAATACAGTGAAATTAGCATTCAACTGAAAGTTTCAAGCCAGTTTATAAAGAATAAACAATAGTGATGATAGCAACTGCTACCAGTGCTGCTAAATTATATATTATCATCTGCATCAATGCAATATGATGCATGGATCATATTTGGGGCCGCTGACAACTCTATTCAGAAATTGGATGGTGCTGGATGAATCCTGGAACCCTAGCACTGGAACAAATTCTAAGCCAGAAATAACCTCTGCCCCCTAGAGCCTTAACTGTCATTTTGCATCATGCTCTCCATTTACATCAATTTACTCAATAGCCCTGCCCAGAAGAAGAAGTCAGTAAAGGTTTAGCTTTAATAGAGATGGGAAACAGAAATAGATGAGCAGACATCAACCACAGGAAAAGCAACAGATTCTTTACCAGGAGTAAGATGTTCTTCAGGAAACTCACCTGGTATCACTAAGATGCTCCTGGATGAGCCTACAGGGCCAATTAACTTTGTCTCTTTAAAAAATACTGCACAATGTCCAGGAAGAAAGAGCACTGAACAAAATCAGCTCAGATCTCAGAGATTAGTTTTATAGCCAGCAGATGGATGAAGAGAATAACAAATGTGCAAATCGTCTATAATGCCCATATATTTTAAATGCAATAAATGTCCAAATTGGAATTATTTTCCTGCTAGCACAACAGCGTCTTCCTACACTCATATTTTAGGAAAATACAGGCAATGTTTACTAAAAAGCTTTATGTGCAAGTCAGTAATTAGCAACCAAAATTTGGTATAAAAGTATATCTAAGAACTAAATCAAATCTTGCAAAATGTCACAACAGATAATAACTACTTATTTTCCATATTAACATGGAAAGGAATACATACATGACTATCTCAGCATGCTTGCATACCATTTAATATAAAACCTGGTAATTCTGGAAAAGGGAAATAACATAATACATCTGACAATTGTATCAAGGAAGCCATTGGCAGCTGAATTATGCATTTCTGGTTGATTCCTCCAGGCTGTGATGATTAATCCATGCTGATACTGTCAGCTGATGTGACCTACAGATTCATTCTGGCTCATATACCACAATAAAATGAACACTATTGCAAAGTCAAAGAAACATTAACAATGCATTGGCTCTAGATACACTGACTACAATGCAATTTTCAATAAATAACGGTGGTACCTTTTCCCCATGGTGTTTACTGAATTGGCCACATTCCGATTCACAAGAGATTTTCTCCTTGATAACTTCTTGGTGCTGGTGCTATCATCAGTGGTATCATCATCTTTCTTTGGTGTGCTACCTCCTTTGCTGTTGAGGTCCCTTAACACATTATAATTAATTTTACTTGAGATCTTCTTCTGTTCCAACATTTTTTCAATTGCCTCTCCTGCTGTGCTGGCCTGGATCAGCTCCCGTTTCTTTGCAGACTTCTTGGGCTTAATTAAAACATAAAGAATAGGAATTTTCGTGGGCAATCAGAATAATTTTGATGAAATCAAAGAATGGGCTACAAATATATCATTTTCAGATGACAAGTCATGGTGAAGAGGCAGGGTAAGTGATTAGTTATAATAATGGTTTGTCAAAATTTCAGTATGGTTTTAACAATTCTTTGTAATACCAACACTGTATGGATCCAGAGCGGCATACCTGAATTAAGATCTTGTGAATTTTCTCTCCCTTAAAAATGATGCATTGAAAGAAGTTTTGTTTTGAGTGGCTATCAATGTATATATCATGTAGCAATGTATGTAAGCCTTTAAAATATGTGTTCTTCAACATGTCAAGCCCCATTTTTAAGAGTCGATCCTTGTTTTGTTTTGAATGGCTGTCAATGTATATGCTATGTAGCAATGCTAAGAAGTAGGCATTGCTAAGAAGACATGTTGAAGGAAAATACATTTTCCTTCCACATGTCAGGCCCCATTTTTAAGTGTAGAGCCGGGAAATAAAATTTAATTGTTAGCAAAATTTGAACTACTATGCCCATGGAAAGGGAAAACTGACTTAGGAATCTAAATTAATTTTTCTTTAATTTTAGATCACAATGAAACAACTAAGTGAAAAAGTATTACTGCTGGTTGGTACTACAATGCTTCCAGTTTTAGTCTTGAATTGGTTATGATAATAATCACATAACTTCTATGTTTTGACTGTATCTCTTCCAATACTGTACACAATGAAGTTGAAATTTATATTGTAACAAAAGTTGCCCTTCCCCTTTTCTATAATATGAACACTAAATAAAATACATCATATAATGAGAATATTTCATCTATGGTCACAACAAATGGAGTAGGTTCATAAAAATACATAATATTAATATGCCATTCCCATTATACAAAAGAGTTTCAGTAGAGACTTGACATTTTTGCAAACATTGAAGAATGACATTGAAACTGCAGACTTACAATCTGCAAAAAGGGAAATTCCATTTACAGCTGTTTTACATTTAGAAATTCAAAATAGTAGATAGCTTTCATATATGGAAGAAAAGATAAAAAGAAGATTTGTTGAAGCCTTAATAATTTTTTTAGAATGGGAGGGGAAGACATGGATGTAGAAGTGGACAAGATGTAGAGAATTAAAATAAGAAATAAAAAGTTAAGAAATATGCTCAGACATATACTTGTGTACCTTGTCAGGAACAAGACAAGCGACCAAATTCTATCACAACATCTTAACACTAAGCTAAGAATACAGCATAAGAGAAAAGAATGTAGAATTGATTTGTTTGATCAGAAATAAGACAGTAAGTATTTTTATAAAACACTGGAAACCCTTTATGGACTTTTTGCTGATTTCTTGACTGAAAAAGGTTGAATTTGAGAAGAAGCGAACTATGTAATTAATCTTAAAAAGAGAGGAATGATACTAAGTTTCAATAGAAGATAATATATCAAGCTCAGGGTTGAATTATGGAAGAGTGACTCTGGAGTACTCCATAAAACTAAGTTTGTAACTCTTATAAAGAAGGTCAAAAGTTGTTTCTTTAAATAACTTTTTCCTTTAAATTTCGTATATATATTTTTCTTCCTCAAGTTCATTTTCTGTATTTTTTCATCTTTCACTTGTTTATAAATCTCTAATAAAATTATATTAAAAAACAGATAGCATAAATTGACATTTGCTATTATATGTAAGCCATCCATAAAACCAATATTTTCACACCTATATAAAGGGGCTTTAAGATGACATGATAATGGAACTATGAGTATCACATATAATAGATCTACCTACCTGGGCCTACTATACCCCCTTACATTCAATAATTCATGTGCTGATCTATATCTCTTTGCAAAGGGAGTACTCCAGCATATAAAAACATGGGAACCTGCTGATGTGAGCTATAGAAACTTTTTATTGGTTGTATGAATTGGCCTTCTAGGATTCCAGCTACAATTCTCCTATTGTATCTAAAGCAATCCCACTTATTTCCCCAGAGGCATTATTTACACAGCCTTGAATTGATATTATTTAGCATTTATAGTCTAAAGTCTTGAGATGGATAGTAGCTCACAAATGACTCCATTCAAACAAACTGATTATGCCAGGGTAGATTAGTTTCCATGTTAAACATTGTGTCAGTTTAACTTTTACTCCAAAAGTCAGACCAAACTAGACATAATTCTTAATACTCGTAATTTTCAATTCAATAATGTCCTAACTCAGCAGTCAGTATCCTGTCACCATCAGGACTGCAATTCACAAAAAAACCCTTGTGGCAAAAAATCAATATACTGTGTACACAATTATTAGGCAAGTGAGTATTTTGACTATATCATCCTTGTCATGCATATTTTCCACCTCCAAGCTGCATAAACTTGCTTAGTGCAGTGGTCCCCAATCTTCCCAGCTTGGTGGGCCAGCATAGGGGGGGGGGGCATGTGAGTGGCAGGCGCACGCATGCATGCACAGCTCCATTGGTGCGAGCTGCAGGCAGCGTGCCCTCCACTTGCACAAATGGAGCTTCATGTGTGAGCAAAGGGCACTTGCATTTGAGCTTAAAGCTCCACTCATGCAAGCAGAGGGCACTTGTGCTTGTACATGAAGCTCCACTCGCATGAGCAGCACACACTTGAGATTGCGCACAAAGCTCCACTCGCTTTAGCAGAAGACACTTGTGCAAAGGGCCCTTGTGCTTGTGCCCAAAGCTCCACTCACACGGGCAGCAAGTGCTCATGCGCGAAGCTCCATTTGCACAAATGGAGCTTCACGTGTGAGTGGAGTTTTACGTGCACTTACCCATCGCTCATGGCCCAGTTTCAAACAGGTTGTGGCCCAGTAGTGGGCCAAGGTCCAGGGGTTGGGGACCCCTGGCTTAGTGGATATAAACATATCAGGTGTTGTGTATTTGTGTAATGAGGAAGGCCTAAAGTGATCAACATCCTATTTCAGGGGTGTCAAACTGTCAGCCCATGGGCCGGATGCATCATAGCAAAACTGCACCCACCCCATTGCCAGCAATGGCAAAAAAGTCACGATACATCGTGACATGTCACGTGATGTTGCGAGTTTGACACCCCTGCCCTATATCAAGATGTGCATAATTATTAGGCAGCTTCTTTTCCTCAGGCAAAATGGGCCAAAAAGAGATTTAACCGACTCTGAAAAGTCAAAAATTGTAAAAAGTCTTTCAGAGGGATGCAGCACTCTTGAAATTGCTAAGACATTGGAGTGTGATCACAGAACCATCAAACATTTTGTTGCAAATAGTCAACAGGGTTGCAAGAAACGTGTTGAGAAAAAAAGATGCACATTAACTGCCAAAGATTTGAGAGGAATCAAACATGAAACTACCAGGAACACATTAGCCTCCAGTGCTGTCATATTCCAGAACTGCAACCTACCTGGAGTGCCCATAAGTAAAAGGTGTTTAGTGCTCAGAGCCATGGCTAAGGTAAGGAAGGCTGAAGACCAACCACCATTGGACAAGACAGGTAAGTTGAAATGGCAAGACTGGGCTAAGAAATATCTGAAGACAGATTTTTCAAAAGTTTTATGGACTGATGAGATGAGAGTGCCTCCCTGCTGGATCTCAAGTTACATAGTACCGAGCAGAGGGAGGTACAATGGAGGTCAGCGAGGCTACTCATGAGGAGACAGCCCCATCCTTCCTAATGAGTTGTGTTGGCTGGTGACTACTTAGCTCCGGCGTAGAGCAAAACTGTGTTGGAGACAATCATTCGCTTTCTGCCCTGCATGAGCTCTGACTTCATGCTTCCGGACCTGTGCCCTGTTACTCGATCTCATGCTTGGACCTTGGATTTTGTGACTGGATGGTGGACTTGTACCTTGGCTTTGTATATCGTGTTGGAACTTTGGATGTGTGCTTGGATTTCAGAGTTTGTGTGTGGATTTGTGCCTTGACCTCAGATTTTGTATTTGCTTATTGATTTCATGTCTTTGCTGTGCAGACTCTGACTCATTGGGACCTTGGGTTTCTAGTGAGGGGGACCTGGAGAATAACATTAGGGGCTTGCAGTGCTTAAATAAAGCATTAAAACTCCTTGGTGTGTGTGTGTGTGTGTACGGGCATGTGGACTGGGCCAGGACACAGATATTTGAATATTTGTTCTCAAACATATTTTTTTCAAGAAATACAAGTAACCCTCGACTTACAACGGTTCATTTAGTGACCGTTTGAAGTTATAACAGCACTGAAAAAAGTGACTTATAACTATTTTTTACACAACCGTTGCAGCATTCCCATGGTCACATGATCAAAGTTCGGGCACTTGGCAACTGACTCTTGTTTATGACCATTGCAGTGTCCCAGGGTCATGTAACCACCTTTTGCGACCTCTTGATAAGCAAAGTCAATGAGGAAGTCAGATTCACTTAAGAACCATCTTACTAATGTAACAATTGCAATGATGCACCTAACAACCATGGCAAGAAAGGTCATAAAATGGGGCAAAATTCACTTAACAAATGTTTCACTTAGCAACAGAAATTTTGGGCTCAATTGTGGTCATAACTCGAGGACTACCTGTATATCAAACTTCTTCAATCTGTCTTCATAGGTCTTAGTTTCTAATCGCCTGATCATTTTTACTGTCTTTTTTTAGGCATGTTCCAATTGCTCTGAATCCTTCTCAAAGTGGTGCCCAGAACCAGTCACAGTATTTGTGGTGGGATATGGCCAATGCATGCAGAATAGACTCTTTACCTCCCATGATTTGGAAATTGTAGTTCTATTGCTTTGTCTGCAGCCACAACATACTGTTGGCTTGTACTCAGTTTGTAATCAACTACTTTAGCAAGAAATTAATCCATTTTAAATGGGTTCACTCAATTCACTGAACTAAATAGTAACAAAATGGATTGGGTTTGCATAGTGCATTATTCCACAACAAAAACCAACCACATTTAACATGTTGTACAAATAAAGCTGCTAGATCTTTAACTGACTGGATTAAGAGTGTTATGTAAACGCAACTAAAGTATAGTTTAAAAAATGTCCTTTGTACTTGATACTAAAACTGAACTATCCAAAGATAAATCAGTCTATTCCTCCCAAAATATGGCCATCCAAAGGGCTCAATTTTACTTAAAGGGATAGCCTAATAAACATTTAGTCAATTCTGGCATTATCCTTTGGGTATTATCCATTGCATATTATCTAACTTTAAGTTGTCTTGAATCTAAAACATCAGGAGAGACATAGCCAAATCAATTACTATATCAACTGAAAACAAGGTGGGAAAAAACAATAAAGTGGCATTTGTTTAAATAAAGTGTCCTTTAATAATTACCAAGCAAATTTTCACTTGACTTAATTTTCATTTTTAGATACCTTTAATTAAATATGATATGAAATGGGAAACCCACAACCTGCAAAACTGTGAGCCTTCAGCATCACTTACACCTCTCAAATGTCTTTGGACTTGATACAGATATTCTTAGAAAATAAAAATGGTAGATCACCGCAATACCTATCTTTGTACTGAAATTTGTCTTATTGTCAAGCAAATTGTTTTATTTAGTTGCCCCATGTAACAAACTCATTTCTGCATTCTGTTGCATCTAACACCATTTTCAAAGGAATTTCCACACAGAACACATGAGCTGCAATCTGCTTGTGAAGGTATCAGGACAAGGTAACTGAACCTGCAATTGATTTGATTCACTCTAACAAACTGTAAAAATAAAACCTAGCATTCCCACAATGAATTAGGCTGCATATTTGAAATATAATATGGACTTGTAAGTGAAAAATGTGATTTTAGTTTAGCTTAGTAATAAACAAATTCTTGGATCCAAATGTACGTAGAAAGTTGCTATCCTTAAATTTCTAAATATAAACATAAATATTTTCACAACTTATTCTTGGTTGGTATTTGTTGGGATGCTAATAAAAACCAGAGTAATTCTGTCAAACCTGGCCTGTGCCTGCTGATGCAGACTAGCCTTTCTTCCTCTTCTTCATGGTAAAATTGATAAGTCTTTTAGCTTGCAGTCCACACACTCCTCCTTGGTTCTTCTAAATGCTGACAATTCCCCATGGCTCTGCTTCTTCATTTCTAAACTCTTTTTTTTCTGTCCCAGTTGCAGAAGAATTACTTTCAAGTAGTGCTTTTTGTAAAATGTCAGTATAAAATAAATCACATTATTGCTACCCACAGACACACAAGCATAGAAGAAGAACTTACTGCAAATCTTTGTTCTGCTGATCTCAATGGAAATATCAAACACCTCTGCAACCACTGCTTGCAACATGAGACTCAAGGGATGCATAGACAGTACAAGTAAAAGCCAAGAACTATGTCCAAGGGCTCTCTGGGACTGCTATACGGTAGATCACTGGAAACTGCCAAAAATGCATAAGTTGAAAATCTGCTGGAAAATGGGCCTGAATAAATGCAATCCCCTGAGAAAGGATATGTGATACTCAAAGCAACTGCAATGTCAACTAGATACACAATGCACTGAATTTAAATGCAGCAATAAAAATGGAGGAAGCCGCTTTTAACAAATCAGCCATCGGGTTCAGTACTGTCTGTCCTCTGACAAGACAGTTCTCTAAGTTATAGGTTTCTCTAAGTTATCAAACAGGCATCATTTATATCCCTATTTGAAGATCCTAGGAATCAAGCTTGGATTTTTTGCATGCAAAGCATGTACTCTGCTGTTGAGCTCTAGTCTCTGCTGCTGAATACAAAAATTGCAGGTGTGATGGGGATGGTGCTAGGATTTTATGAGGAAACAAAACGCAAAAACAGCAATTGCCTGGTCAAAAAGATACTGCCAGTTTTTCAAAGAAATTACATCATTTCTGCATCTCTCCAGCTTTTCCACTTGCAAGACAGAACCCAGACTTTGGTGATGTTTCTCTCTCTATGCTAGGGACTATGGAAGCACAGTTTAGCAAGCTAAATTATGGATTTACTGAACATTAGGATATTAGAGTTAAGGCAGCGAATTACTGTTTGCGCTAACTATGCATTATGTCTTCATTGAGTTTTGGCAATCTATACCTTAGCATCATCCCTCTCATACTCACATTTAGATGTATAGAAAAGTTTTATTTAAAGGGACAGCCTGACTAGTTTCATGATGGATTAACATAGAATAAAATAGCATCTTAGAAAAAGAAGGCTGGAATGTGCAGCTACTGCTAAAAAGAGGAAATCTACTTCCCAACCTTTCTTTCATAATTATTGGGACAGAGTTTGGATATATAATATTGTCACTACTGAAGAAAGAAGTGACTGTGCAAATGACAACAACCCTGAAGCTGCAACTGATCCAGCTTGAAAGAAGACCTCAGCATGTCAGGTAAAAGAGCAGGGCAATTTCAGAATGTAGTGCAATGGACTGCTTTAATAACTGAAAAATCTTCCCAGAAAACATCTGTCCAAAAGAGGGAATGGAATTTCATTAATGGGAAGAGGAAGCAAATGAACAACACAGGCTTCCCTGCTCTCTTATTAATGCAGATTAAAGAGTACTTTCTGAAGTATAAAAGTCTAACATAACTTCAAAATATCTATCATAAATATTTCTTCAATTTTTCAAAGAGAAAACTGGTATGAAAATAGGTAACTACTAACATTCTTATTGTGTTTGTCTATTTGTACCCTCAAGTTAGCCCAAACAGTGCATTATACCGCAATAATTTCTGAATCGGAGTGCCTAAAATCTGCTAACTTAAAGAAAGCATTAAAAATCCCGGGGCCCATTACTCCTGTGGAACTGAAATTTCCATGATGTTTGAATCAGTTTATTTGCAAATGTATGGCTGTTGCAGGATCCCCATGTTCACATGATCATGATTTTCAACATTCCTTGCCAGTTTCCTTAAAAGCAAAATAAATAAGGAAGTCAGCAGGAAGTCAGGTCACTCCTGCTCCCACTGCTTTTTACCTGCCTGTAGTCATTCCATTCATCTGTTTAGGTAAGCAAATATCGACTTATTATAGAAGTTTTTTGCCATTACAATTGTTTTTCTATTTATATATATACATTCTTCTTAGCTCAGTGGTTCTCAACCTGTGGGTCGGGACCCCATTTGGGGTCGATCGACCATTTCATGGGGGTCACCTTTTCTGGCGGGTGCCTTACCTCCCTTGGGCTGGGCCAGCTGGTGGTCGGCCTGCTCCGTCTCTGCCGCTTGCCAGCTACGCCTCGGCCGGCGCAGGGGGCGGAACCACGCATGCGCGGCGCTCCCGGGCAGGGAAAGTCCTCGACTTACGACCGGTTGGGTAGTCCTCAACTTACGACCGGCTTAGTCCTCGACTTACGACCGGTTTAGTCCTCGACTTACGACCAGTTTAGTCCTCGACTTACGACCGGTTGGGGTCGCGGCATTAAAAAGGTTGAGAACCACTGTCTTAGCTGATCATGGGACTATGTAGCATTGAGTTAAAAAAAACAATATGATCGGCCTAAAATTTAATTCTACTCAAATCAGACTGCACTAACTTTCTCTCAAAGGATCCAACAGGTCACAGGACTGCCTAGAAGCATTTACTTTTTTCTACCTATGGCAGCACTGAGCCACCTTTGACTAATCTCAATAAACTAAGCAAGGTCAGATGTAGTTAGAACCTCAGTGGGAGGTCATCAGAAAAAGACAGAGCTCTTGGCTAGACTGGGAAATCAAAACTCACACAAATCTACCTCTATTAACTCTGCCAGCAAAACTGCATGGATAGAGTTCACAAAAATGGAGCAATCTTATCTTAACGTGTCTAGCTATTTTATTAAGTAGGACAAAGAAGCTTCAAAATACTTATTTTAAAAATAAATATATAATTAAGAAAGTTTGGATTACATATGATTTGCTTTAATGATATTAAAAGCAGTACTGCAGTTAAAAAATGTCTGAATCTAAGTAAGGGTATATATATATTTATGCAGTGCACATAAAACAGATATTAAAAATAGAGATGAAAAATAAATTGTAATATTACAATCTTAATGCAAGCAGTCTGTTCTCACAGTAGCCAACCGACTGCACAAGGAAGCCCACCAGTTTCCCAGCAGCTGGTCTTCAGAAGCAGTCACACAAGCAATCAAGACTATGATCCCATGACTTTCATTTACTGGTCCAGCCCTTTTTTAAAGCCAGCCAAGCTGGTAAGATTGAATTCTTATTCTAAAGCACATTGGTGTTTACAATGAAATACTTTCTATAGGTCTTATCCAACAGAATTAAACATTGTTCAAATATGTTTCTTTTCACATCAAATAGTATTTCAAAAATACTATTTACCTTATGTTCTTTATAAATCCCAAGCTCTTTTTCTTTTGCTATCCTTGCTTCTTTTTCTAAAAAAAATGATAAAAGAGAAGTGTAAGCGGAATAATGTTTTAAAGAATCGGGGGTTGAAGGTGGGGGTAGAGACGGGAGCAAACACAGACTTGATTTTTTCCCTTCTGCAGCAGTATCAAACCTAGAACAGTGGCCAGTAATGCAGTGTCACAGGTGCCGTAATACCTCTGACATACCCAAGTGAAAACAATGGAGCTAAGGATGCCCAGTGTTCACAGTTCTGAGGAGATCTTTCCTGAGGTTTGCAGTATTCTTATTTTATCATATGGTGGAAGTATGAACTAAAAGATAACACACCCAGGGTTTGCGTCTTTCTGTTAAAGAGTGTATTTAAAACTGCTAAGTCTTCTTAAAATAATGTAACTATGATTTACTTCAAACTTATCAGTTACAGTTACTGTTTTGAGCCCTTTAAGTTTACTGCTTTTGTTTGTTGTTATTTGCCACTTTGTAAGCCTTCCAGCCTAAGAAATTATATGTAAACACTGTCATAAGCAAATAAAAAGCAAGCAAGACTCACCAGAAAGATTTTTATTTATTTTGCTTACCCTTTTGTTCCTTCAAATAATCTGCATTTTCCTTCATCCACAATTCTGCTTTTATCCTGGCTTCCGAATCATTAAGTATGTACTAGAGATGGAGAGTAAAAGTGTTAGACTTCTGCAGTGAATATATAGGAATTAGCAGAATCACGTTCCTTATCATGTCCACCATTTTCCTCACCCAAACCAACTCATGCTTTCCCAAAGACAGCTCCTCTCTTTTATATTTAAAATATAGATACTGATTTTAGAAACAAAACAAATAATTCATTTCTACTTATTAGATTTCTCTGTATATACATGCTTATTTACTATCAATCACCAGTTTCATTTAAATAAAGAATTTTGTATTAATTTGTCTGTGTAGCACATTTAACTTCTGAATAGTATATAGAATAACATTCCTTTTTCTCGAGGGAAAAACAATAACATTAGCCTTATTTTAAAAAAAAACTCTGATAATTTTGAACATATCCACATATGTATAGAAACAATTATGAGAGGTGGGGGTGGAAAGATTCTTACCATATCTATTTCACTGTCATCAATTCCACTTAGATCTAATTCACCATCTCCAGTATTTTCATCTAAACAGAAGTAAGGCAAATTTTAATTATGGTATGCATTCATTCCAAATCAACTCCGATTCAATCTCTGGCTTTAATCATCTCAGAAACACAGTCTTTCTGATAACTGGTTTGCTAACAAAGCAATCATTCAGCATATGGGGCCCATCCATATTAAAAAAGGAAAGAAAGATTTTTTTCCCCTTAACCACACTTTTCTCTTGTTATTGTTTCTTATGTGAATACAAACTGTCACTGAAGTTAATTATTGCAGAAAATAGGTACAAACAAGGCTTGCCCTTCATCTCTTTAAGAATTACTATTAATATAATTCAGTGATAAACATTCAATTAAATATAAAGTGAAGAAATGAGAGGTTAGGAACTTTTAAATGCCCCATAGTCAAGGACATGCAATATCTAAATAGTTGCTGCATTCACCCATGTGAATGATGAATGCCATTGAGTAGCTGCACTAATCATCATAACATCTGTTTTGTATGCATCAATGTACACATGGGAAATTAGAGCGATAACTAGGTAAAAGGCTAGCAATTGGGGAGGTCACTTTGAGTGTTCCTCACCCTGCTAGCCTAAGCAGTCCACCCAAGATCCAGGAAAATGCTAGTTGCCAGTTAGAAACCTGCCCAGATTTACATTCCACAATAGGGTGTAAAAGCAGCAGCTTCCCAGCACAAATGTCCAACTGTCTTTCCTTTCTAAGCCCTGCTGTCTTTGCTTCTCTCTTACCTACTGTTATTGTAAATAAGAAGGGCACGAAACGGAAGATAATGTTTGGTCTGGAGAAGGGATATAAGCCTCTCTTCTCCCACTCTGTGAAGGCTAAGTCTCCAGTTTGCAATCTACAATCTGTCCTGAAAATGCCCCAATCAGGGAAGCGAATGAAGGAAAAAAACCTCCTATTGCATCATTGCTTATTGTTACTGAGCCTCATTAATCTTGAGAAAGACACTACAGTAGTTTTACTGTCAAGAAATATCACAGTGCTGTACAGATACAACCTGACCTTGAGGGACAGAAAGCAAAAACTCTGGATATTTCATGCATTTCGAAGAAGTAGCGACAAACTAAAACGATGGATTGGAACAGACATCAGGTAACAATAAATACAGAAATAAATAGATACCAGAAGTGGAAGAGGTCAACTTGCTTAGGATTCCATAAATCTTCTCAGTAATTAATCTAAACACAGCACTTTTCGTTCAAATACTGTGACAGTGTTTTCAACTATCCAATAATATTCTTATATTTATGCTATCTGAAACATTTTGCACACTTATCTCCTGGAAGAATATCAGATGGTACACATTCTGCAGGCAATTTTATGATCATAGATTGACTGAAAAGCTTATGGAAAAGGTTATTAAATGACATAGTTTAGTCATGAGTTCACTGACAATTCAGCAAAGTCTTGCTCTGAAGTTATCTTCTACTTGATAGTTTTCACACAAGACTAGAAGTTAAAAAATCCTAGCAATTACGCATTCAAAAATGCAGTGATGTTCTTTCAGCAATTTAGTCAATATGGCTTTGTTGTTGACTTCACATAAATTGCCTTTGCATTTAGTAAGCACATAAATGCAACCTGTACTTCACCCTTCAGAACACTTAAACATGTGTTGTTCCAGGCAGTGCTATTAGGCCATTCCAAGTGGAATGTTTTGCATTATTCTTATGCCACGCAATTTGAGTTTGCAGATGGGTGAGGACCCATTAAAAGGTTAAGTGTTTATTTTTAGTTGAACTGATGTTGTCTAGACTGAGATACACACATCGAAAACATCATCTCTCCATTTAATCTTTAAGTTGCAGCTTTTAAATAGTATCTTTTAAAAACTTAGATCAATTCATGCATCTACCGGGGAAGAGCAAACATAATGTGAAGTGCATGTTAGAACTTGGCAAACTGTTACCAACTCATTTGTTTATTGTGCATTTATTGTGTCAAACTCCTCCTACGAGGCCAAGTTATTTGCTCATCCAGTCCAGTGCTGTCAGCTCTGAGCAGTATCTCTGGTGAATGTTGCCCGAGGACAACATTTCTCAAATACCATTTTACAGCAATCTGTTGCCAAATTTTGTTGGTGCTGTCCAGGGAATTTCAAGGAAATACATAAAAGGGATTTGTGTATTTCTATAATTTAGACATTATAGGTACCTCAACTCTACCAGAGAATCATAGCAGTCTGTCATATGACCAGCTCTCTGTATTTTTAGAAATATAACAAGCAAGCAAAAACCAGAGGTGCCTATGGGTAATATTAAAATTAATTATATTATAGGAAGATACTGGGAGGTCTGCAAAATATTTCAATTTTGATCATGTTTCAAATGTGAAATGCTCTATTTTGAATGCAAGACATAGAAGTACAAATAACCCTCAACTACAATGGGGATAGGATTTTCCATCACTAAGCAATGTGGTCATTAAATGAGTTGTGCCTGGTTATATGTTTTGTTTTTTTGGCTATGGTTGTTAAGTATATCACACAGACATTAAGCGAATCCAGCTTCTAGCTTTGCTTGTTGGAAGCCCCTTGGGAAGGTCAAAAATGGCAGGTGACCCTGGGATACTGCAACCCTCATCAATACATGCTGGTTGCAAAGTGCTCGAATTTTGATCACCTGACTGCCATACAGTATAAGTGCAAGAACCAGTCATAAGTCACCTTTTAGCACCATCTTAACTTTGAATACTCATTAAACAAATGCTCATAAGTCGAGGTCTACCTGTATGCCAAATTTAAAAAACCTTTTTTTTCTGCTTGAAACATTACCCAATTCACTGGAACAGTCTGTTTTACACTTCGAATGGTGACTTTAGTCTGGGAGTGCATCAAACAGTTTGGATTCAAAATGTTTTGTTAATGCAATTACTCCTCATATATTTAATAATTTTCTGTTCGGATCATATTGTAAATTACATTTTGTCTGCAGCTTTTGAAAGGGGACAGGATGGAATCTGTACTCCAAAGTCTGGAGAAGTTACACAGTTTTGTTCCCTGTTTCAAACCATAATTAATCTTGGTTACGTGCTTTGAATGTAGATCTTTCCTTAAGAACCCAAGAAGTAACTTGGGGAATGAGATTCAACATGTTTTCCAGCACTCTTAACAACTGAGAGGGAGCCCACAATGATCCACCTTTTCATTTTCTATCTTATTCTGTCATAAATGGACAAATTATATGATCAACTGCTGCACACACATATGCAGCTGTGAACCATAGTGAACATGATCCACTCTATAGAATAAATACTTTCAAATACATTCTGGAAATTTCATCAAAAAGCACCTGGTGCATAAGAACTTAAAACTAGTCTGCAAACTAGACCATTTCCATGAATAGCAGATGCATTTTGTGTCAACGTTTTAATTTAAACTTGTTTTGGAATTTGTGCCAATTGTTTCCTCTGTCAGCATCAAGAGTCAGAGAACTCATTTACCAACTGCTGAATTGCAGAACAAGGAACTGATCCGAAATAAGCACAACCTAAACTCAGGAGAGGGAGGAAATGGAGTAATTGAAGGCTACTGGTCCTGTCTACAAATAGCCACTCTTCATTTCATCTGACAGGCATTTATTAAGTGAAAAGAGTACCGGTACATGGGGCTTTCAAATACCTAAGTTTCTGTCCCCTGTAAACAAAGAAGTTGGGCTATTAAATCAGCATCCACTATAAGGGTCAAATCTGAGAAAGAAAAATAGCTGTTCTAACGCATCACAGTAAACTCCATTGCAATCATCAACAAAACTAGCTAATCTGTCTTAACTTCCAAGTGGGCCACCTGTGGTCCATAAAGCACCTTGCTCTAGAAATAAAGGGGAAAGCTGCTCCCAATTCTTGGCCCCGTTTTTCAAATGAAATACAATGGCATTCTCTTTCTAGTCAAACAAATATAATATTCTAAATAATATTTTCAATAATTCCCATGAAATGCAATGTTTACTATCCTTTTGGCCTCTGATCTTAAAACAGATCGTTTTGATGAAAATCCTTTTTTGCTTTCTTCTTTTGTTTTGTTTTTTTCTTCCAGAGGAAGCCAAAGCCTGCAACAGAGTTATGGATTTGGGGGTTTCGCCTGTTGGTTTTTAAAAAAGAGGTCCCGCTTTCAGCTATTAATCCTGTAAGCAGATCAGAGAGTGCCTTTACAGTTAAGGGGCAACTCTTACCCCACTCCCTTCTCTGCCCCTTTTAATCTCTCTGGTGGAACCAGCAGTTTCCGCAGCTTTCGATCAAATCTCCAACTCAATTATAGTCCTTGAAAGCGTCTGTCAGGCCCTTCATGCTGTTATTGCCGCCTCCCTGTTCCAGAAACTACAGAAACTGAACATTAAGGCTCAACGAGAAAAGGAAGGATCCATTTCTCAAAGACAGAGTATGCAGTTTTATTCAGCAAAGCTCCAGGTTTTATATCTTTTGCATGTTTCATGCAGGCCTTGGAAAGTTTTTTGCTGTGACCTTCCAGACAACTCTGGTCAAGATACATAATACCAGTCTATTAAATGAACCACTGGTCAAATTCAATATAAAGGCAGTTTCACACATTCATGCTTAGACTGGAAGAGATCACTGTTAACTACTGTTTTTGCTACAGCCTCATTCTTCTACTATCTCTTGCTGTGCGACACTGGTACAAAACAGGTTCAAAATCCATTAATGGAAAGCTTATGTAGCAAGGCTTCCTCATGTTTGAAGTCTCAGGAAAATGGTCTCTTGGGCAGCAAAAAAAATGAAAAGCCTGTTCATTTGCTGAGGTCTTTGAGAATTACAGGTCTATAAAGGTATTCTTTGACTTATGACCATTCATTCAGCAACTTAGTTACAGTTACAGTGGTTCTGAAAAAGGGAGTTACAATTAGTCCTCAAACTTACAACTGTTGTAGCAACACAGTGGTCACATGATCAAAATCCAGACACTTTACAGCCCACCCAAACTTATGATCACATGGGCACTTCAACTGCTCCCACCCATCCATCTCCCCTCATCTATGCTCTTT